CTAAGTAGTTCTTTATCATTTTATGTGACTAGAAAATTCTATAAAGATATATGAATGAAAAGGAATCTGCAAGTGCATAGATAATTATACCATTGTAGCACTTCACCCGAGAGTATTCTAGGTATCATTATTTATATTTTTACCACAGGGAAGGTCTAGCATGGACAAGTATTGATAACTTATACTATTGATGGAGAAATAAACCATAACCAATATTCTACTCATAACAGGGGTACGTCATAGGATAAGATATATATATGATAAGTATTGATCATCAATAATAATAAATCACTCAGAGTACTCCTTTCTATGGTATTAGCATAGTCAGGTAGAATATTAGAGAAATAATTCCTAAGTCACTCTTAATTATAAGTCAAAGCATATATTGATTAGTGCAATTACACCTAGTAATCATGGCTAAGATCATCTTTATATCTACACTTAAGGGATATTACTAAGGAAGATTAAGAACAGAGCTTGTCTTCATTCGTAACTAGATCCTATTTGTATACCTATATTCGGGCAGTGGACTACAAAGGACTCAACAGGAGTGTCACATCCGTGATCTACCACATGGCCCAGAATATAGGGTGTATCTAATGGTAAACAACGTATAAGCACCACGCTTACACAATGTCGACCACTCACCCCGTGTACTTTGGAGTGAGCGCTTTGCGAACTTATGCATAAACATAATGATAAACTAGCTATACTAAGTATATAATCAAAGTAGACAATGAACATTATAACAAAGAACATGAATAAGATGAATACTAATATTGTCATAACAATTGTAGCAAGCATATAAAAATAATGGAGATACAAAAGAGAGAGGGTACAAGGATTATACCAAACCACGCTCTTAACACGATCAGGAATCCAAGCGAAGCCTGCTTGCCTTCCTCTAGACCTAACCTAACTAGCTATGCCCTAGAATTAATGGAGCTCTGAGGATGATTAGGGTTTCTGTCTTCTCAAATGACTTGATGCCTCAGGGGGGTGGCGGGGGCTAGTATATATAGCCTAGAGCATCAAACGTGAGCCTTTGGATCAAACCGACTTAAGGAGCGATGTAGATGCAACTTAGGAGGCGGTGGAGAGCTAACATTGCAACACGGAGACCGACAGGTGGGCCTAGGGTCCGGGTGGCCTGCAGGTGGGGCCAGCCTCTGCCTCTCTGCCTCGGCGTGGTGTCCTCTAGAACCTTATAGTGTCCGTTTCGTGGTGGATAAGCGCAATTAAATTTGACATGTACGTCCACCTTGATGGTTTTCTGGTTAAACCCTGCAGAAAATACAGATTCACCAAAACTCATGGAATTTATTAGTTTAAACCCCTAAACCTTTGTTGGTGATCATATTTATGCCCTTATGCATGTTATATTGACGGTTTATAATGGTTGTTAACTACCGTCAACAGTGGTGTACTGTGATGATTAATCAAGTGTATTACCTAACTAATGCTAGTCAATGGAAGACTACTTAGTTAGGTAATCTAATTAGGAGGGAGACGATCTGGATAGCCCGCATGCATTGCTAGATCTCGTTGGGTTGCTACTGGATCTCAAAGTGTCATGCATTGTCTTTGCCTCTGATTCGAGCCATTGGATCTCGACTATGTCTCTAGTTGCCGCCTCCTTCACAACTTGCCTCAAATAAGAATAGATCGACAAATGAGACAAAAGGAGGTCATAGGAATGGAGAGGAGGGAGGGGGATTGACCACTCACCCACTTGATCTCATCTTCTACAAGCCGTTGGATCTTGACCCCGTCGCTATCTGTTGGCTCCTTCATGTCTACCTTAGAGAACAGAAAAAAAAAATCAGACGAGAGGAGGCACAATAATGGAGTGGAGGGAGGGGAACTGGGCGCTCTTGCACTAGTTGATGTCCTCGATATGGTTGGGTTGAGGAGCCAGAGCGCACCATGGGGTTGAGAAAGCCCATGGCCTCTGTGTCCTTCACTAGGGTCAGGGTTACCTTGACTCGCCAATTCATGTGGCGGAGATATTGGAAAAAGTACAACTGAGTAAAGAGGAACGAGCTGTGACTATGGTGGTAGGTGCCATGGCTCTCCATCGTCGTGGATATGGAGGACACTGTGTTTCCAATTCTCCAGCGACCATAGCCAAGGCGACCTCTGCATCTTCAGTGACCATGGCCAAGGTGGATGTGGATTGAGGTGCAATGAAGCGTGAGATGGGGGAGAGAATGGAGCATGACAAGAGGAGAGCTAGGCGTGCCAACATCGAGTGGATGGGAGAGGAGCCACATCAGGCAAAGAGAGAGGGTGGAGGCGAATAGAGGCGGCGGCTATGTGGGGGACTGCGGCGGGGGCTCCTGTGACCATGAGGATAATTATAAGTTACAGTTAGAAGATGAACCATGGACTGGCTCATTTGCATAGGTGGGGCAGTCAAGAGGCGTGCCTTTGTTAATATGTTTTTAGAGATATTAATTTATTGAGTGTTTGTATAAATAGTAAGATGGCCTCTAAAACACGCGGTATATTTTTAGAGATAGATTCTCCCTTTATAACCACCTCTATAAATCAAAGGGTCTGTCTCATTAAATTATCCTTGTGTAGTTGAACTCAGAATCCTATCGCCATGGAGTTGCCTTCCCTTCGCTACGGCCATTTCCGGCGCTGGCTGGTAAGCGGCATGCGTTGTGCATTGACATTTCCCCTCCTTTCAATAACATGACGATGACAATGAGTGATGACTTTGACTTCAAAATATGAGGTACTTGCTTGTAAACATTGGAATATGGCAAACCTGAATTTCCCGCTTTCCAATTTCTTAGCTGCTTTGGCGCCGACGTGTGGATCGAAGATGCATGCACAATGCACGCACCGATAAAATGCGATAGCATTTGATTTGACAGCCACGCATATGGCACATGCACGGTTACGGAAGCGCCGATTGACACGTCGCCGTCCACTTCGACAGCACGCGTGCGTGCATGTGCGCGCGGCGGCCGCTTCCCCGGCCGGCCGGCGCCGGCAGTAATCATTACTCCGTATTAGTCCAGTCACCGTTACTCCGTTAGCCATAACATGATGAGGCCAAAATATTCAAATGGTTAGTATCGTACGTCTTGAAGCAGATAAATAATAGAGCAGGATCACACGTACGCTAGCTACAAAACTAAATGAGAACATTTCAACGTGGCCGCCGTGTCTCCTGCTTGCGTCGTGGCGAATATATATTGCATTGTACGCTGCCGTTGTGCCATGACACGTAGCATAGATCTAAACTGTATTTCATTATTATATACTCTATTCTTGCAAATGTATAGTCTGGTTCGGACTTCGGACAACCGTTTGTGCGTACTAACTACCATATCTAGTGTCGTCTTGCTTCGAGATCATTTTTAAGATACGTCGTACGTGTCATCATGTATATACAACTCATGAACGATACAATGTATATACCTTCAGTTGGACCGATCATATATTTTGCTATCCTTTTTTTTTCTTGTCATGGCTCTCATGACTACTCAGTATAAGTCTATATATGTAGCAAATGTCATGTTTCTCATATAGTCATGCACAGATGCACTCCATAATAATAAGACATACAAGTGTGTACATTGGCGCCGCCACCATTGTCGCAGCCAATCGCTGATTTAGTCATTTTTTTTATTTAAATCACACGTAGAATCATGAAAACAGAATATCTATTACGTACTTTACCGGCCTTATGGTATTTTCGTAAGTAAACATAGTGACGGAATGTATCTCTATTACCTACTTTACCTTATGGTATATTCATAAGTAAACAAAGTTACTGAATGTACAATTCCGACAAACCTTCGAAATAACGCCGGATGACGACCGTGCACTACTGGAGACGGGCCTCTTTGCCGAGGGCCCTCGGCAAAGGCCCATTAACCCTCGGCAAAGGCTTTGCCGAGAGCGGCCCTCGGTAAAGAGCTCTCGGGGAATTTTGAGTCGGCGAAGAGGGTCTTTACCGAGGGCCCTTTATCGAGCACTCGGCAAAGCCTTTGTCGAGGGCTGGACCGGCACTCGGCAAAGAAAAGCAGCCGTCATGACGCCGACGCCTGGGACAGAGTCTTTGCGGAGGGCCGTCTCCGGGGGCCCTCGGCAAAGAATTATTCTTTTATTTTTGAAAAATCTTTGTCGAGGGCCTCCAACCATGGCTCTCGAGAAAGAAATGTTGCAGAATTTTTTCAAAGAATCTTTGCCAAGGGCAATGGGACAGCCCTCGGCAAAGAATTATTCTTTTTTTTAAAAAAATCTTTGTTGAGGGCTTTCCCGCAGGCCCTCGGCAAAGAAATTTTATTTTTTAGAAAAAAAGTCTTTGCCGAGGGCCTCCAACCATGGCCCTCGGCAAAGAAATGTTCGAGAATTTTTCCAATGAATCTTTGCCGAGAGTAATGGAACAACCCTCAGGTCCTTTGCCGAGGGCCTTGGTCATTGCTCTCGGCAAAAAGGCAGAAATTTAAATTTTTTTTTTGTTTTTTGCATTTCATCGACACAAGCATTTCATATATATACATATATATATCAACCATCACATATATATATCACACAGAACCCATTTTCTCACAATATATCACAACCATAATTATGAACCACAAATCACAATATATTACAACGACAAGTCACATGTTTATTACGACAAGTTCATGAAATCCAAGTACAAGTCAGAACCATAAACCACAAATATTACAATAAAGTCCAACCACATCACCTAGCACTAGTCCTCATCAAGGTAGCCTATGAGATGGTGGTGAAGGAAAGGCGGGATCACCCGGTGACGCACTACCGGGATGATTGGAACCCGCGGACGGAGGCTGCACAAAGGAGCAGAGATTGCATGTGTGAGTAATCCGGGAAAACAGTTTTGGAACTTAGAGATTGCATCTAGTAATCTAGGAATAAAAAAAATTAGACTCAATTGAAAATTTCAGCAGCACCTATATATTTAATTATAGGTGCTATGAGCTTACATGGAGAAACGTAAGTAAACTAGATTATTTTGGGGGATTGGGTGTGCAGAGGAAAGGGGATTTAGAAAAGGTAATTACTCTCAGTGAGGGAGAGTTGTCATCATCTGATGCAACAATCAGCTGGGTGGACATATCTGGATTCCATTGGAGAACAGAGCATTTCCTTCGATTTGAATCTGAAAAACTGTTCAACAGTTCAAAATTAATCAATCCAAATCACAGATTGTATCAAAAGAGATCCTGAAAGTGCATAAGTAACTCTAGCAACTACTGTAATTACCTAGTCAGTGGTTTCTGATTCCTTAAATCCCAAACAACTGCAGGGAAACAAAATTAGTCAGACACAATGATCAGAAGTCCAAGTGATGGTAACTGATAGCTAAACTTTTGCAGAATCAACCAAAATTTAATTTACCTGTCATCCCATTACTCGAAGTTGAGGCAACTATATGTTGGAACTTGGGATTCCAGGATAAACAAGAGATTTCAGCTTGCGCATGGGACACAACACTCTGTTAAAATTATTATACTTTAAAAAATGATTACATGCTATAAAAGGTTGAACAGAAGAATGTAGCCAGAACATAGTGACATAACTGAAATATCCAAACACATCCTGCTTTACAACTATGTCACGTGCCCTAAACCTCAACTTTTTTTTTCATTAACAGCAACCCACATCGATCATATGAATGAACAAGCATGGAAACGCGGTAAGATAACATAAAGGACTCTACAGGGGAAAAACTTGGTTTGCATTCAACGGACTAGTGTAGCACAGGCGCAAACATCCAGATCATAAAGGACGACTATAATCTTGCACAATCAGTCTAAAGTCCCTCAGTTTCATCCCTGCATCAAATAGTGTAGCCAGTTCTGCTCATACTGAATGAAAATTAAAAATGAGAATGCTACTACATATAACTCAAAACATCTCCGTCTGGAATGACAAAAATCATGCTAGGGTCACCGTAAGCACGCAAGATGGCATCATGTTTACCATGGAATAAAAAGCACCACTGAATCATTACAAGCCGTGAGTAGCAGAAACCATGCATCTCATGAATAACCATTAACCAATCGGGCAAATCCTTAATCCTCTTGTATGACAATAAGCTCTGTACAAAACTGCAAGTACCTTGAGTGGTGGGTACACAATTGGCTCAACAGGGTTCTTGAGATCCCAGATGCAAAGCTTCCCGTGCTCAGCCCCAGAAGCGAGCCTATTCGGCGTGAGCTCACTGAACTCCAGTCCACAAACCTGGGCAGACCGAACACAAACGCAATCAGCACACGACGCCAACCCCGTCAGAATGCCAGGCGCGTAAAACTAACTAGCCAGCCCCGCGCAACTCACAGGCCCGGTGTGCTTCTCCAGACGCGCGACCATGGCGTCCTCCGCTTTCCCTCGGAGCTGAAACAGCGATGCAATTCAATCGAGCGGGAGCAGATCTCAAGTGTGAAGCGGGGGCGAGGGAGGCGGATCCGGACCTGATCATGCTCAGCGGGTTCCACACGGCGACGGAGCCATCGCTGAGGCCACCGGCGAGAGTCCAAGCGCCGGCGAGTCGCCCTCGGCGGCATCGGGCGCGACCAGGAGAGGCGGTTGAAGCGGTCCGGGAGGGGGCGCGGAGGCGAGGAGCGGAGGTCCGGGAGTCGGACTGGAAGTCGAGGCGGAAGATCTCGATGTTGGCGGAGTTGGAGAAGCTCAAGTCGATGGCGCCGGTCATGGTGCCTTGGGGCGAGGTATACGGCGCGTCCGGCGCGCCAGCGCCGTCAGCGCCGCGCCGCCGCTGCGCTCTCTTGATGCACGCCATCGCCCGGCGAGACAGCGCAGATCTGGGCGTGCAAGCGCTCTAGCTTCGCCCAGGGCAGGGACGCTGCACGGATGAATTGCGAGGGCGATCTGGAGATCGAGGGGGGAGAGAAGAGAGGTGGTGGTGATGCGGCGGGAGAGGGGTTGGCGACTTGCTGAATCGCTGCGGATCTGATCGGGTTAAAGCGGGGATTTGGAAGCCTTCGGCCGCGTCATTACGAGCGATCAAGGCCGTTGTTTACTCGAATGGATTACTCTGAACCGTTAGATTTGAACATCCATTAGCGGATGTGTGTATATAACTTCCCAAAACATGCAGATTAATCCAGTTTCTAAGTGCTTATCTATAATCCAGATATAAATTGATATTCCAATTTACTACCTTCGTCCTAGAAAAAAATTATAAATTTGGTGAAAGTCAAACACTTTTAAGTTTAAATAAGTTTATAGAAAAAAGTTTCGTGACGTGGAGATGTCTGGGTTTTAGGCATCCGACATCACAACTTACTTGAAACCTTCTCAATTTTTTACCACAACCTACACATGCGATAACATGACACCTCGACAAGTTTTGTGATTTTCGAACTTCGTATGGATTTTATATAATTTAAAAACACTTTTCCGACAAGTTCCTCGTCATGTTACGTGAAGAAGATGCCCGAAATTTGATGCGAGTTCGTGAATAGGGAATCCACATACACCAAATACCATGAATAACATTTTTCGAATCACTAAATTGCATTATTCCATCCACATGCAATTCAAATTTGAAATATTCAAAAAAAATCAACGAAAAGAAATAAATTAGGGAAATATATAAAAAAGGTCAAAATTGGCCCAAATTTTAAAATTGAGTTTTAAATAATGTATTATAGCACCACAAAAAAACTAGATTCAAAAACCAAAAAAAAAATCTTTGCCGAGGGCCTGACCAATAGCCCTCGGCAAAGAAAATTTAAAAAAAAATAAAAAATCTTTGCCGAGGGCCTAAGGGGATCTTTGCCGAGGGCTTGGCCAATGGCTCTCGGCAAAGAAAATTTAGAAAAAAAATAAAAAATCTTTGTCGAGTGCTTGACGGCGGGCACTCGGCAAAGACTGACGCCAGTGGCCACCGTGACCCATCCGGCCATATTTGCCGAGGGCCAATTTGTCGAGGGCTAGGCCCTCGGGAAAGATTTATTTTGCCGAGGGCCTATCTTTGCTGAGGGCTCCTGGGGCTGGCCCTCGGCAAATAGAGCATTTGCCGAGTGCCCGAGATCTAGCCCTCGGCAAACCCAGAAGCCCTCGGCAAAGGATGGGTTTCCAGTAGTGGTGACCGACGTCGTGGCACCTTAACTCATAGTTAAAACCTAAAAAAAGAATCTCTATTGCCTGCTCTAGTTCCAGTATTCTTATATATAAAAGAAGTGGTTTGAAATTCAATTTCAGTGAACCTCGTGGTAGTCAGGGCGACAGAGTGTCAATGAAAAAATTACCACCCTATGGTAATAAATAGCGGTTGTCCACATATTTTTGCATGTAGATGCCTTGCTTTTTCCGTATGCACATAGATTGTGATGAGTTAGCATGGAGAGGTATTCGATGAGGGGTTCACTACCACGAAAACAATTTTCGGAGATGATTTTCAGCGGCAGAGCAGCACGTTGGCCTCTCTCAAATGATCGTTATTAATCAAATGTAAACGGTTTTCAGAAAACCCAAAAATGGTTTTAAAAAACAAAAAAAAACAAAAATCTAACTTCTTTGAGGATTTAAACCCATGACCTATTACTTAGCCACAACATCTCTACACCACGGCACCAAATAATCATTTGGGACTATATATAGGATGCTATCTTTTTATATCAACATTTCATAATCTTATATTGAATATTTTGACTACTAAATGAACTAAAATGGAAAATGTTTTAACTATAAAGTTTTAAATCTTGTCAAGCACTTCAACTTTGGTATGAGATGTGTCTCCATCAAAGATTGTTTGAAAAATTGAAAATTTCGAGTCTCCAAATTAGTGAATTTAAAATAATACTTGACATACTAAAAACCTTCAAATCAAAAACTTATGAACAATATGCTGATGACACATTGCCGGATACAAAATCTCCTATGCACTGGGACCTCCTCAGTTCTGCTCAATGGCATTCCTGGTAAGACTTTTAATTGTTTGAGAGGTGTAAGACAATGTGACCCACTTTCTCCTCTCCTGTTTGTACTTGCTGCTGATCTCTAGCAAACAGTGGTCAACAAAGCCTGGCAGAATGGTGTTCTTAAGCATCCTATCAGCGACAACTTCAAAGGGGATTTCCCAATTGTCCAATATGCTAATGACACATTGCTCATACTTCCAGGAGATGCAAGAGTGCTCTTTAATCTCAAGGGTTTGCTTAAACCCTTCTCAGACTCTACTGGGCTTCATGTGAATTTTAGTAAATCATTTTTGGTGCCAATTAATATGGATAACAGTAGGGCCTCCAACCTGTCCAATACCTTTGGTTGCAACGTTGGCAGTATGCCGTTCACCTACCTGGGCCTTCCATTGGGTACTACCAAACCTTCAGTGCTTGATTTCACACCACTGCTATCAAAAATTGAAAGAAGACTATCAGGCACCAATAAATTCCTTTCTTACCATGGAAGACTAACTTTAGTCAACTCAGTGTTCTCTGCACTTCCAACATTCTACATGTGCAGTCTCAAACTCCCACCTCAAGTGATCAACAGATTGACATTTTCAGAAAACATTGTTTATGGAGCAAAGGTGGCATTAACAGGATGGGATCTTGTCTTGCTGCATGGGAGACAGCCTGTAAACCAAAGATCCAGGGAAGGTTGGCCATAATTGATATCAAAAGTCAGAATGAAACCCTCCTAATGAAATTCCTAGATAAGTTTTATAATTGTGCAGATGTTCCATGGGTGAGCTTAACTTGGAACAAATTCTACTCTAATTCACAAACTCCACCATAGGCTAGAAGTCCTTCTGGTGGAAAGATATACTCAAGCTCTTTGAAAAATTTCAAGAAATGGCCATCTGCTCTCCCAGTAAAGGTAACACTGTCTTGTTTTGGTCAGAATCCTGGACAGACCAACCACTCAAGGAGAAATTTCCTCAGCTGTATTCCTTCACTAGGAAGCCCAAGCGCTCAATCAGATTCTTCCTAGATCAAGATGTTGAAAGAACCCTTAGCTTGCCATTGTCCACTCAAGCTGCAGATTAGTTACAAGTTGTTGACTCCCTCTTACAGGATAGAAATTGGGATGATAATGTGAAAGACATCTGGAGCTACTCATGGGGTTCATCAAAGTACAGTAACAAGAAGGCCTACAATATCCTCATTGGTGTCACTGCAGCTTCTCCTCTATTCAAATGGCTCTGGGCCTCAAGTAATCTTGGAAAACATAGTTTTTCTTCTGGCTGCTTCTAATGGATAGATTGAATACAAGGAACCTTTTGAGAAGAAAGAATATGGAACTAGATGACTATAGTTGTGTGCTCTGCAACTCAGGGTGTGAAGAAACTAGCTTTCATATTTTCTTTGAGTGTTCTTTCTGTTAGATAATTAGGCATTTTCATGGTCAATTTAATCCAAAAATAAAACATCAGCAGGTTTGTGACGACATATATGTGTATGTGTATATCACTAACAAATGCTACAGCATTCAAGTATGACATACCGATCAATATAGTAAGAACGCAAAGTACGGTAATCAAAGAGTTAAGAGTGTACCCAGCGGAGGGTCCCACGCCGAGGGCATCGGAGGCTCCATTCACACCAGACATAGTGCGTTGCTCGAAGTCATGGACCACAGTCGATGCAGGAAGGTGTTCGCAGTGCAGTCCCATGAACGGTTACCAGGAAGAAGACACCTTGCTATTCCGCGAGCGATCACTAGGAAGAAGACGTCTACGACGTGGACGAGCAGTCGCGGAATCGCTCCGCAAAAACCTAATCGCCGCACACAACGTGCAAGGTTCGCAGGCGGACGAGGGTTCCGGAGGCACCTGCTCTCCCGTTGCTCCTTGCACGCAGAGGTATGGTACGGGGAAAACCAAAGGGCGGCTTAGATGTGGTCTCTCGGGAGCGAAGGGAAGATTGGACTGACGGAGGACTTCTACTTTTATGCCTGTAGTGGGAAGGGAGAAAGCTAGCCAAGGAACTCAGGAGACGGAGACACAAAGAGACGGTAACTGACGCAATCAACTCGCCTCAACCATAAAAGAGAGAAATTCCAATAATTATGTGGATTAAGTAGCAAAACCTGGCCACGCCCGCCCGTCCGCTAGCTCGTCGCCTGCCTGCCTGCCACGCCCACGCCCACGCCCACGGCCTCGGCCCTGCCCAGCCCAGGACCATGCCCACGCCAACGCCCACGGCCTCGGCCCAGCCCGGCCCGGCCGGCGGCGGCGCGCGCGCGCGCGTGTGGCACTCCTGTGTCTTTTTCTCAGCTTCTCAATTAAGATGGATAATTTCCAACCAAATAAGCTGAGTCAACGTTCAGTCAAAATCTCGTACCGTATTAAACCATACAACGCTTAATGTAACGGACCATATAATTTTATTTGATTTATTAAATATTATATGGGCCAAGCCCATAATATATCCAACAATCCCCACCAAACTCTAGGGTTTGTAATAAATTAGTCTCAGAACTATATTTCTTTTATATACCAGTGTTTCAATGGAGACTGTTAAGTTGAACATCTATCTAGAGCAATAGTTTCACTCAGTCACAACTGAACAATGGACTAAGCCTTAAATGGACAGTTTTGTGTGAGGTGAATGTCACTAAAGTCCTTAGCTGATACTAGGCTGTAAAAGGTATCCCCTCTATTTGAAGCATATAAGTCATACTCCAGTGCTTTTCATGAGTATTTAGAGATCACCCAAATCTCATAGACTGTGACCAGCAGTCTGACTCATATAGGTGTGTTCCTCAAAAGATGTTGTGTAGGATAACAACTTTGCTTTAGCAAGCCACTTGGAACATATTAAAGTAAAA